ACACACATGAAAATGCATCTACCATAACCTATTACATATTTTCCGTGTGTTATATCTGGTGTGATACATGCAAACATGCATCTACCATAACCTATTAAATATTTTCCAAGGTGTGTGAAGTCGAGCACATACATGAAAGTGTGTGAAGCTGGACACATACACAAATACACATGCATCTGCCACAACCTATTACATATTTTCCAAGGCGTGTGAAGTCGAGCACATACATGAAAATGTGTGAAGCTGGACACATATGCAAACACACTAACATATACATACCACAGACATAAAAACATAATCTAAACTAAGTCAAGCACAGACAGGCTCACTGGGTGAAGCTGGATTCATACATGATCTCATGCATTTTGCAAACTGCATCCTCACATATATTCTAATAGATTTTTCACCATTTTTTGTGTTTGTGAATATGTAAAATGCGTCATTTTGCATTACAAGTTGAAGATGTTATTAGCCTGTATGTAAGCGCAAATTAAATAGCCTTTTATGTAATTTTTTCACATTTTAAATTCAATTTAAACTGCAAAGTTTATTTCATATATGTACATGCACCATAAAGAATAAATAATATTGTACCGGTATTATATTTTAAAGTGAAATGGGACCTCCATTTCATAAGCAGAAATGTGAAATTTATACTTATCATCTGTATTTTTTTTTTATTTTGTCTCACATGTATCTGAATGTGTAAAGGAAAACAAAAGTCAAAGATAGCTCAATATAATGTTTATATTCAAGGTTATAACTGGATATTGTTTGTGCTGTAATCTGACTCATCATATGATGAGAAGCCAAAATACAGAATATTTTAGATCATTTTTGCTTGGAAAATGAAAATTATCAATATGCCAATTTTTCCCATTGTTATATTATTAATTAATATATCATTAATATCAATGTACATATGAAAAATCTATGCCATCCAATTCAGTGAGTTGTAGGCAATCCTGGTGCAGATAATATTTTTTTCCCGTGTTTCGTAGTAGAGCGGGAACACATTGTATTAGAGGAACGTATATTAATGGTTTTGATGTATATGTGGGTGTTGCCAAAGGAAGGCCAATGAGAAATGAGTATTCAGTAAGGTGTTCAAATCATTCTAAGCCAGTGCTCTTCAATACACACACATTTTTTGCTTTATATATAATATATATCATATTTGTATGAATATACTGGTAATGGAAATAACAAAACTGTAATAATATACCTTTAATTTTAATTTGGATTTTTACATACATGCAAATATTATAGGGTGTTCGTGCATTTTTAACTATTGCACTGAATGCACGTCCGGCATTCTCTCTTGAGACATTATTTACATAGCGACGGACACAGGTTTTCCATAGTTAACCATCTATGGTTTTTGCCTGGGCGGTTTTTAATGTCTGTGATAGGGGTATAATTTATTACAGGTAAAATATTTTACAAATGCATTCCAGTGCTTTATTGTTTCACATTCAATGTAATGTATGCTAGATATGTATCAAAATAAACGCCAGCTGCTCCAATTAAGCTAACCTGGCTTACAGCATAGTTGTTGTATTATTTGAGGTGTAGTCTGTCAAATAATGATGAGTCGAGTGTTTGATTCTGTAGATGACCATTTCTAATACTAATTTCAACTGGAAATGGATACAAGATAATAAAAAAATATCTTTGACATTTGTCTTAAAATTCTGGGTCCTCACTAGATTAGATTCTTAACTAACTGTGAAAATCCAAGGATAAGTGTATTAAACAATAGTCAGCATTTAAATAAGACTTTTATAAAATATGTATATTTAATGAACTTTAATATGGCATTAAAGGTGAAAGGTTATATTTAATTATCTTTTCCTGTAAGTAAAGGTTACCTTTTCACCTTTACTTTTTGTAAAGTTAATACAAAGATGACCTTGCTTTTTGGAGCACCTTTAATGAAATTTACTTTGCAAGTAAAGTTTTGTAAAGGTGTTTTTTCAAGCAGTGAAGGTGTTAAGTATGAAGTCAAAAGTGGGATGTGTGGTGTGACTTTATTTAAGACATAAATAGAAAGCTTAAAAACTTGAATTTGAATTTTAGCATGTCGCTCATGTGATCAAATACTCTTAATGCCGAAAGTACGATCACGCACCGACCCACTTCAATTATTGAGTCGTTTTTAAACCTGTTTCTATACCCCCCTCCCGCTTGAAAAGCGGGAGGATATACAGTAATCGAAATGTCCGTCCGTCCGTCTGTACGTCTGTCCGTTCATCCGTATGTTACGTTTTGGGGTGCGCTTCTCTTATCCGCAACTCCGCTTATACCACTGAATAAAACTTAATGAAACTTTCAGAGAATCTTTATTTCATAATGTCATCGTTCACCTTCTACTTTACTTTTTGATTCGACCTTTATTTTGGGCTTCCTAGGGCAAAACATGGACACTGCCATTATATTCATATGGGATCCAGGGGTATCATTTATTGAACTCATTGCTCACAATACCTTTAGTTTATTACTTATATTTGAGACGGGTAAGTGAATATATATGAATATAAATATTGCACATACCAGTCGCTGATTGCTTTTGATTTTTTTTTCTGTAGCGGAGGACATATCATGATCAGCACGTATAATTTCACTTTTCAAAATGAAATCATCAACTTTTCCTATTTTATGTACAATGTATGATTCGGTGAAAAAAACCACTTTAAATTGTTGTTCCTTAGCAAGATAGGAAACAACATGAAGTTAATATGTTCGCAAGGTGTAAAATCGAATTCATTGTGTTAAGGGAACATGTTGTGAAAGGGTTTTTGTGATCAGTAATAGTTATAAGGTTGATGTAGGGAATTTTTGGTATTTGTTACCTTTAAAAGTGTTTATCAGCTGTTTGTGGCGCGATACATTAAATCAATATTTTGCAAATGATTAACAAAGAAGAAGGTATGGCTTTAGCTTTATTGCGCCCTAAAAATGTAATGACATCAAAAAGTTTTGAAACTGACTTAAATATTAGTTAAATAAATGACTCTGATAAATCAGTAAAGAATATGGCATGAAGGTTTACCATTCTGCAAATATGACGTCATTAATGTGAAGCATTTCTCTATTTTCAACAGAAAAAGCCTCAAAATGGCACATTTCAAGGGTGATTTTCCTTTAGGAAACAGTGTCCACAGCCGTCGCCCACGTTAATTTTTTTATATTTTGTGCAAAATTCAATAACAAATCACATATCTCAAGATCTTTGTGGGCGATGCCTGTGGACAATGTTATCTGAAAGAAAATTCCATTGAAAATTGGTGTCTTCTGCAACTTTTTAAGAAAATACGGGAAAATGCACATGTTTATGACGTCATAATTAGCATTTAAAACACATATGAGAAAAATGACTTGTATAATTTTTCTGCATTGAATTTCAGTTATTTAAAAAGCATGACTTTTGAACTTTTACACCAGTTTCAATTTTTAGAAAATCACAGGGCAAAATTTGTATGGAAACCATACCTTCTTCTTTATTGTGAGTAAAATATACTGGAAAACAATTTCAGAATAGATTTCAGAGTTTACGATCAGGATTTTATTAAAAGTCTACAAGAAAAATAAGGTAAGGGTAGAGACTGAGCAGCTGACAGCTGTCTAATATGAAACATATACAAATTCAATTCTCTGTCATACACAAGTTGAAATGATCATCAAAAACTGTATTAAATATTTTTTTTTTATTTTAAATAAAAAGATATTACTTTAATTGCAAGAGGAGTTTTAGGAGAGACATTTTTACTTTCGACAGCTGACTTTTACAGTTGGTCTTTGTGTAAGGTGTTTTATCCGTCTGATAAAAGATATAACTTTCTGAAGACTATTTACATTGAGATTCCATGAATCATGTTGTCAGATTGTACAGAAGTCATCAAAGAAGACCATTATGTAGTCAACTTAATCGATTTTCTTCTATAGTGCAGTTGTCAATTTCTAGTTTCTATTGCCAGTATTTTCATTGATTATTTTTAATAGTTTACCTAAATATTTATATTTAGTTCCTTTAAACTATGTAAATTGAGATATTTCTATCTCTTAACATATCAGTCTTTTAATTGTTACAGAAATTTCAGATGCAAAATAATTATTGTTTATAAACATTTAATATTTTGTTTCACTATAAATATATTAAAGGACGATAATGAAAAGAGAACTCTTGCTGATGGATGCATTTTATTTGACAACCACAGAAAATAAATTGAAATTCTGATTCTAAAAGCAATGCTTCATTAAATTATGTTTTCTAGTGAAAATTAGATTGGTTTAATGATAAATATTGTTTTGATATATACCTCATATTTATAATTTTAATGTGAGATAAAAATTATATAATATTGACCATATCAAATTTTCTTCTCATCATATTTAGACTTAATATTCATTTCTAAAAAGGTAAGCAATGATTCATTCTGCAAACTATTTCCCATTTGAATTTAATCTTATTGATGTTGATGAAAATAAATGTTTGGAATAAAATAAATTAATGAAATGTGAAGCAGAGGGATATTTCCTCTTAAATTGCAGAAGTCAGTCGTTCATTGTAAAAGTAAGTTTCTTCATAAAACTCCAATTTTCTGACTATAGTTATAAATCCTGGCTGAACCAACACTCCCCTTAAATGCAATTTGTAACAGTAAATCTCCTTCCGTTCCTATCAAAAGAGTCGATGACATACAAAATGTTATTGTATATGCATTTTCTTCTTTTATGAAACTGTACATTGACAAATCATTATATAATATAATTATTAATAAACAATATTTTTGTTATCTTATTCGTTTGTAGAGGGCGTAAATTTTCAAAAAAGTAATACATGATATACACATGTAAAAATGACACTATTTCTTGTCATTTAATTATTTTTTGATAACTATCTTTATCTCTAGTCATCATTTGTGAAGAGCCAAAGCTTGTTCCAGATTTAATTGTTCCGTCCCAAGGATTGACCCATTTTCCAGACCCATAAACTCCATTTAAATAGGCCCAATGACAGTCATCGAACCACCATCCACCGTCTGTATGGAACGGAAACATCGTATTGGGGGAGAGTGATCCGGGGTCTTGAATGTTTGGTCATTGTTATAGCTTAACTGCTCTCCTTTTAACAGATAAAATTATTTGTGATTGAAAAAACAAAGGCAACGATAATTGCACAATTTATTTTTAGAAGAAAACTTTCGAGAGAAATAAGGTGTAGATTTGTTTGTTATGTATTGCAAAGATTCATAATCATAACTTTTAAGTACAATATGATTAATTCATAAAATTGCATGAGATATATTTATATGATAATAGTTTCTTATAGCCAAAAATAAATATGCCAAGAAAAGGTGAATACAGTTAAATAAGGTATTGAATTTGTAATATTTCATTCATATTTTTTTTATATAGTGTCTTAAGAAAAAAAGAGTTTATTTATGATGCATTAGTCTAAAATGCTGGATAAATATACCATATGAAACATAAAAACATAACGAACAGTGTTCAAGATCAAAAGTCCAAAAACACTACAAAATAGGAGCAGAGCAAACATGGACCTCCAAAACATCGGTGAGAGGTGGGATCAGGTGGCATGAAGGATTAAGCATCCCCTGTCTATCGATCACATTCGCCGTGTGCTCCTTCCATGATCAGGAAATGAAGGAAAAATCCGTCGTCCATTCATTTTATAAATAATAGACTAACAATTAGTATGAAAGAGTCAGTCAGCATTTGACTTAATGATATATTGTATTTGCTGACAAGATTAAAGTATAATTTTCTGTTTCCTTTAAAGACAATATCCCAGATACTTTCTAATGAAAAAAAGTTTTCATGGATATCCTCCGGAAACTAACTATGATCAGGTGAGCGATGTGGCCCTTGGGCCTCTTGTTAAAAAATACCACCGATTCGTAATTTTTAAAAAGAGTAAAATTTAAATAAAACGTTTCATAAAACAAGAAACTTCAATTCTGTATTATTATATACGTTTTTGAATATCAAATGTTGTCATGGTTACTCTATCAATTTTTTGGGGAAATTCCTTCAAAATGTTCTTAAAACAATTGTAAAGTAAGATACTTAATTTTTATTTTAATTTTTATTTATATTCTAAGCTTTAAAAAGTAGTTGTTATTTTGAGTTGCAGTGGTTTATCAAAGTTTTGTTAAAATAGTGAAATCAATCAATGATGAATAAGGGTTTGGAAATCATTGATGATATTAATATTTTCGGTCTCATTTTGCCGTCGCGCAGCTTCCTCCATGGTCAAATTTTTCAAATCTGGAGAACCCTGCTCCCATTATGATTATTCTGTATACTTCTTGTTGTCTGCTGACTGCCCTCTAAAGAATTAAATCTACTTTAATTGTCTTAAATATTGCGTGTTTCTCAAATTACATTGTATTTTGTAATACAAAATGTAAGAAGAAGAGGGTTTCAATGGAAAAAAGAGAGTATAGCAGGTGGGTCAGGCTAATTTTAATCTTATTTCTAAACACAGAATTTCAATTTTTACCTATTACAAAAAATCTACAGACTATCACCACTCAGAAAGGTTGTTGTTTCTAACTATTTTATAAGTCTGGTTTTATTACTGCTGAATTAAGTGAAGCGGCAGGTCATTTGCACCTGTTTCGCTACCAATGCATGGAATACTCTTTCGGCACTCCACTAGATTTTACACTTCGGTGTATCAAAAGATCATTTGTTACTAGTTATACACAACAAATTGCAAGACAGCTGTACAGCTATCGATGTCGTGCCAAAGATGTAGACCTTTTTACATGTATTGTCAAATAATTAATTCATGTTGTGATCAGACATATTTTAACTGTTAAATTTTGGAGTTATTAACCGTCTAAGAAATAACTCGTCTGATGAACATAAGAAGTTCTATCAGCATGCAGTTTTGCCTTTTTTTAGAGAAAGAATTTAATTTATTGAAAAAGAATTTAGAAGAGAAAACAACAAAATTATTAATAAGATCATGAGTAGCTGTTCAACTAAGCTTCGTTCGTTACTCCTCACTAAGATATTGACATTAGTGAAGGAAAAAATTCGAGAGAACTGTGCAACAATATGTTCAAGAAGTGCTGTGAATCAGATGTGGATACTCAAAAATTCCGAAGAACTTTTGGACAATTTGAAATCACTTTTTACCAAAACTAACAGCTGAAGAACTAACGCCTTTTCCACTTCATACACAACCATTCCCAACGATAAATTAGAGTCCATGCTTTTTGATATCATTGATAGCTGTTTTTTCAATAAAAATGAAACTAGTAAATTTACTTACCTGGTAATTTGTCATGTTTAAAATTATTTTGATAAAGTACATTCTGATTGCACACACAAGTACTCTGAAGCTGACATCAAAAAAGTGCTTGAGTTTCTGATTGACAATATCTATGTGGTTTTTGGAGACCAGGTTTTCCAACAATCCATTTGAATTCACATGCATATGGGTACCAATTGCGCTCTGTTATAAGAGGACCTATTTTTATATTCATAAAAAATTTTGAAAAATCTTATGCGTAAAAAGAAGAAAACATTTCCTGTGGCCTTCAACTCACTTGACATTTAGATATATCGAACACGTATTGTCAATTAACAATGGTAATTTCCATTCCTGTGTCAATATGATATATCCTGGTGAGCTTGGGATAAAAGATACCACAGAGTCTTAAACATCTATTTCAAACTGGGACATTGGACTTAAAAAGGACGTCAATGGTAATCTAACAACCAAGCTATATGATAAACGTGATGAGTTTTACTCTTCTATCGCCAACTTTCCTTACTTATGCAGCAATTCACCTTTATCACATGCATACGGAGTTTATATATCTCAGTTGATTCGATACGCAAGATTATGCACTACGTATGAACAATTTCTAAAACGAGGTCAATTATTGATAAGTCATCATCATTTCTTAAGGTCTATGGTCGATACAATGACCTTGTCAGCAAATACAATTTAGCATTGAGTCAAATTCTTTTCCATATTAATTTTTTCATATTAAGTTTTCCATACTAATTGTTAGCCCATTATTATACATTGAATTGACGACGGATTTTATCGTTATTTCCCGATCATGACAAGGAGCACACGGCGGGAGTGATCAGTCGCAAGGGATGCTCACTCATCCATCGCACCTGATCCCACCTCTGATGTTTCGGAGGTCCGTGTTTACTATACTACCTGTTTTGTATTGTTTTAAGGACTTTGATATTGAATACTTTTCGTTATCTCCATATCCTTCTTAAAGGAGAAGAGAGAAAACGAATTGGAATTAAAAGTTGAAATGAAAAATTATTTTTCTAGGACGTTTAAATAATACATAAAAAATATTGAAATGTATTTATTTTTTTCATATTATCTAATTTTATGAAAACTATAGAATTTCTTGAACAAAAAAATTTAAATTTCAAATTATTCTTTATTACCCCATATCACATTGACCGATTATTATTTTAAATATATCTTGTCACCTGCTGTCCCGTTGGAGTAAGATCCCAGATGTAATCTATAGTCATCATCAGCGCCACTGATCCGGAAGTCAGAGTAATACTGGAAGTAATGGCTTCCATTTGTATGTCGTAATTTTACATAAAGGGAAGATAAGTTGACAGTTAATGCATGCATTGCATCATTGCCTAAAAGAAAAAAAGAAGAGTGCAAAACGCAAGTGATATCAACAATTATACGAGCCTTGTCTCGGATAAGTGAGTTTATTTCAGTAACCCTTCATTCCGGATATCTGAACGCAAGTAATATCAACAATTATACGAGCCTTGTCTCGGATAAGTGAGTTTATTTCAGTAACCCTCCATTCCGGATATCAGAAGTCCTTTCAGATATATAATTATATTCACCCGTAGTCACAACCTATCATTCTGGAATTTCACTGTATGATGCGTGGCATTTAACCCCCAGGAAAAATGTTCAAAGACAACACAGTATCAGTGAATTGAAATCACTGTTTATTACTTCAGCTGAAAAAATACATCTAAATAACACGTCCAATTAATTTGTCTTGGCCTTTTAAAATGTTAAGAATACTTGCATTCATTACAATTGAGTAATATATTGTAAATTTCTATTTTTGAGAATTTAGATCTAGGGGCAAATCACTCTAACTGCAGAAAAATACCTTAAAATCAGTATTTTTAGTGTGCAGTGAAGAGAGGGTTCTTAATGTAAGTAATTATTCTTAGTAAAACGTAAACAGTCCCCGATTCGCTAAAGGGGGGGGGGGGTCAAGACAGAAATAATAAGTCAGGCATACTATCCGTTTTCAGTTTTGTTTTCCAAAAATGTAAAAAGCAAGAAGGTACAAAAAATCATAATCTTTAAATATGTTAAATGGCATTGACTATTGAACATTCACGAGAACTGCGTCATTTTCCCTTCTGCAGTAATCAAAGCACTGAATGTACTGAATGGATGGTTAATTTCATCATTTTTATGAGTCATTTACAGTTCGGTATCGTTTCATTTGTTTGCTAGTCTATTGAAAATTTCTAATAAAATGCATAAAGGCATACACAGAGAGTATTTTACCAAAAAATAAAGGGTCTTAGGTTTATATGAACTGATTTTTCCTCTAATAAAAGGGGGATAGGGGACTTAAAAATGATGATTCTCAACTGTGAAACCATGGGAACTGTTGTTGTCCACTTGGTCAATGACTTAAAAAACAACAATTTTAATGTCGGAAATTCCTGATTTGATTTTTAGAGTGAGCATTTTGTCTCAGGGCCATCAAATGCTCGAAGCACAACAAGCTGTAGAAATTTGGCTTCATTAACATTAGAGTAAAAGAGCAATAATCAATCACGCATATGTCTTGGAGTAGCTGGGTTCAGTCACAAGCAAGGAACAAATTATGTTAGTACAAGGTGTAAGAGTCGCATTGGGGTAAAAGTCGCACTAGGGTAAGAGTCACACTAGGGTAAGAAGGTTTAACTACCATTTCAGGATTGATGTCTGAATCTTCATATTGGTCCTTTTAAAAGGAAATTAAAATTCATAAATTGATAAGAAAACAAATCAACCTGCTCAGATTGAGTTTTTGATAACTTTTGATAGGAATGACTGGGATGCAAAATAAAGCATGTAAATAAGCATTTAAAAAGAAATATTATGATATCATTAAATACTGTGGTGGAAAGATGTATGAAAACTTTAGAAATAGAATGACAATTAAAAATACTACCAGATATTTTATTTTTAAAAATAATTTCAAATAAATGGAAATTACTCTTATGAAAATTTAAGGTAATAAATTAGGTAACATTCCTCTCTTACATGCTGATATCTAATAAATGGGAATAATGTCGAAATAAATTGAGTATTCAACAGTAACACATTTTTTATGTATTCAATTTCACAAACCTAAAACATACTCCAATCTCTATATTCTTAGATATTTAACAGCTTTTACTAATTTCATTATGTAAAGTTGATGTTCATTGACCAATCTATTGTCAGTTACACACAATGATGTCCATTGCCCACCAACTTATCTGAACTAGTATGCAGATGCGGCTGATCGTAGAAGAAGCATTGTTTAAGGTTGTTTTCAAGTAACTAATTAAACAACTAAAAAGCCCATAAAAGAAATGCCTTTGCTTGCTTATTGTCATACACTACAACCTATTTCAGAGTACATACCCCTCAGAATTCAACAGCCAAAATTTAACGTAGAGTATTTACACCAAAACACATAAATCAAAAGATCGATGATGATTCTGCATCACCTTAATTTTTCATAATCATAAAAACTATCAAATGTTTATATGATGCCTTTTTATTTGGATAGGATTTTATCTAAGGTTACATAATTGATACGGAACATGTTTTATCATGATTGATCAGATAAGTTAGTAGTATCAAGTTTAACGAAATTTTTTGGCATATTTTGAAAAATATAAAAAGAATGATACACTCTTAAAATGAATTATATATCTCAAGCTAAGTAAATTTGTATGAAAATAAATACAATTCCTTGTTAGCATGAAGGCAACTAAGAATTGTGTGTCTGTGTTGTAACATACAATGACCAAAATTGAGTTAATCAGAGCTGCAGATGGCAAAATATTAATTTCTGCATTAATATACACCAGTATATCAAATTCCATATGATCAACAATCTAAAGTAAATATAAAAAGAGGTATGTAGTAATTTAAACCAGATCCGTTTAAGTTGGGACCTTCCTTAGTTTCCAAATATAGGTTTAATGTTTAGGGTCTAAGCTTGATGAATTACTAATACCATTTTTCTGCATTTTTCTGAGATAAAACTAGTATCTTCGAGGCAATTTTTTATATCGAATACTCGTAATTCTCTTTTTTATTTTAACTGTGTTAAATTGCCCTTTTAACAAGATGCAATATAAATCTAAAGTATAACGTACCTCAAATCATAGATTTTTATGAGAGATTGAATGGACTGTTTAGTTCAACCCCTTTTTTAACGGAAATTGCGGACAGGTTGACAGTATTGGATGATTTATAATATATATTTGTCATTTTTGTAGGATAAAATTTAAATCTCGCTCACTTCAATTTGGGAAGCAACTACTACACATTTCCCATCAGAATGCAACAGGGGAGGACTAGGTTATTATTATTTTGAGAATTGCTGACTTTCAAAGGCACATCGTTAATACTTTAATACAGTTATTTACATGTGTTTACATATCATTACATTCTTTACTAGTATTCTATTTTTTCTCTATTACTAACGGATAATTAGTTCATAATTTTGAAGTACTAAAGAAGGGTCTTAATTAACAGTATATAAAGGGATCGGTTTGGGGGGTTGGGGTGTATTGGGAAACTTATTGGTATTGTTTAAAGTAGCTTAGTACCTTAATCTAAGAGGTGACAGTATCGTTTCCTTTTCTTAAGAGGTCTACCTACCATACAAGATCCTGTGTTATGCGACAACAACGGCAACGCTGCAGGTGATCATTTAGCCATCCAAGCTTATAAGCCTCCCAAAGAACGAAATTTTAAGGAACACGGTGACGTTTTCGTAGGATGAAACAACTAGATATCGAAAAGTTAGGGACTGACCTAGACTCTTCGCCAGGTCTTAGGGATAAAATCGACTCATTGGAGAATCTCATCACTGGCTATGACCACGAACTAAGCGCCGTCCCAAACAAACATGTCCCAGAGGAGACAAGAACAATCACCCTTCGTCCTAATACACCATGGTACACGGAGGATCTGGGCACAAAGAGAAAAACGTCGGGTTGAAAGACAGATGAGGAAAACAACCCTCACTGTTCATAGACAGATGTTCAGAGACACATCCATTCAAGCAACAAGGCTAATACTTGAAACAAAGAAAAAAATATACTTTTCAAATAAAATCGACGAGGTAGGAAACGACCAGAAAAAAAATTATATAAACTTACAAACTCACTTATAGGTATGCAAATAAAACCTATGTTTCCTTCTAATGGTTGTGAACAGGACCTTCCAAATGCTTTTGGCACTTTTTTTCTGGATAAAATCAACATTTTAAGAGATCATCTTTCAGACCTCAATGGATGTTCTACGAGCGGACAAACGATTTGAAGGCAATTAGCTTGATTGCTTCAAACAAGCATCAGAGGCAGAGGTTCGAAAGATCATTATGGCTTCTCCATCTAAATATGTGAGTGAGATCCAATACCAACTTCCATCTTGAAATCTTGTGTATACAGTCTTCTTCCAACAATCACAAACATTATAAATAAATCATTATCAGAATCAGCTGTTCCAACATCACTGAAAAATGCTGTTGTTCGACCTCTCTTGAAAAAACAGGGATTAGACAAAGAAGTGTTCAAGAACTATCGCCCTGTCTCGAACCTTCCATTTATTTCTAAAATCCTGGAAAAGGTTGTAAATTCTAGGCTTGAAGATCATTTACAGTCAAACCACCTGCATGATAGACAACAGTCAGCATACCGTGTTCATCACTCAACGGAGACCGCTCTCATGAGAGTCAACCATGACATAACATCAGCACTAGACATGTGTTGTTCTGTTATTGCTGGACTTATTTGCAGCCTTCGATGTGATTGATCACAGTATTCTGATCAATCGCCTAGAATTTTCGTTTGACATAACCGGTGCGGCCTTGTCATGGATACGATCATACCTAAGCGATTGACACCAACACATTGCTATAGGTTCAACTGAGTCTAGAGACTTTCATCTACGATTTGGTGTTCCCCCGGGATCGGTCCTTGGACCAAAGCTTTACAGTTTCTTTGCTAAGCCAATTTGTGATATGTGCCGAACACAACATGAGTATCCAGTGTTATGCAGATGATACTCAGCTATATATGGTAAATAACACCTACTAGCAACTGGATAGACGTAGCATCTCGTTTGCAAGTTTGCCTTTCCGATATAAGTTCTTGGATGCGCTCTAACGTTCTTAAGATAAATCAAAAAACTGAGCTTATTATCTTGGCCCCAAAACACAGAATTCATAATTTTAATGAAGTTAGCTTCAATTTTGACGGAAATGAAATTAAAGTCTCATCAATTGTGAAACATTTAGGTGTTTTCTTTGACTCTGGGCTGAACATAGATCACCAAATTCGAAACATTACCAAGTCATTTTACCATCAACTGCGAAATATTGGAC